TAAAATTTTCAAGTCTATAAGAAATTATTGTGTTGACAAGAAATGGTTTACACACCGACATACATACAGATAGACATTTTTTATTCGATATTTGAGTTCAACGTGAAACGCATTTCTGTGCAAAAATTTTCTTTCTACAATCATTATTAAAAAATTTTGTCAGTGTAACTAATATTAATAGGTATTTGATTAAATCAAATAGGTAAAATAATAGATATTGCCAATATCGGAGATGTATGTATAACATATCCTATTAATATTTAAAAAATAGTAAAGAACAAATTTGTTATTTAATACTTAAGGCAACTTTTTAAGAATTGAAAACACAAGGACACAAATAATTAAAAACATGGTTTTCTTGCAATCACAGCTACTGTATATACTGTGTAGTGCACTGGATAACTGAAAGAAAACGAAAATGCTGTCAAACGACAAGCTCAGACAAGTTATTAAAACCGAGTGCGTTGCGATTTTTTCTCGGAATATTTTCGATACAATTTCAATTATTTTAAAGTAATTAAAGTATCTGAAAGGAATTAAATTACCCAAAAGGAATTGAATTATTTGTTCAGTACTTCAATTACCAAAAACAATAAAACAGTTACCAACTCCAATTACTTTTACAAAAGTAATTCAAATACCAATTATTTTAAGGCGTCCAAAAAAGTAATTGAATTAAAGTAATTTAATTACTTAAAAATAATTAAATTACTATTTCAATTATTTTAATTGAAGTACCTGACAGCTCTGGTCACACTGTATATGAGACAAAATGAAATAAAATACGATCGTTTAATCTTATTAAGATGAAATATTTGATACATTTAGAGCTTAAAAATAATTTTAATAGTGAGATATTTTTTTAAGTTTACCCACCTTTGAAAGTAATGTAAAATATTAGTATTTCTAATCTTGTTAGATACGAGTATACTACGTGTAAATATTGATATTGTTTCAATAAAACGAACAATTTAGGTACATTAAAAAATCTGATATAGTTTTATTTACATCTGTTAGGTACAAATGGCAACAAACCACAAAATTAACCTTAAGGATTAACGCATTATAACTTTTTTCCCAGGAAATCCGAATAGAAAAACTATTGTACCTCAACTAAAGCAAATATTGTAGGAAATCAAAAAATGTCAAAAAGTCAATTTTATTTTTAATCTCTCACAAGTACAAGGTGACTAATTAAAGTTAACTCGATGTACATTTCATTTTAGAAATATAAGAAATGTAAAAATGTATTACTGCAGTGAACCATGTTACAATAATTATTACTTCCGATTTGGACGGAAGTAACGCCACACTTGCTTAATTCCTCAAAAATCAATTATGTACCAGGTGGGCAACTAAGAATGGACGCCGCAATATCTCAGAAACTAATCATCGCATAAGTTTAGGAAAAAAATTGGCTTAAGTAAAGTGACCTTGAACAATCGCTGGAAAATATTTTCGAGTTTCTAAAATGGCCGCTATATTTAGCCATGACTAAACAGAAAATTGGGGTTTTCTCCGTAGTTTGCCCAATTAAGTGGCATTAAAAATATGTGCATCGTAATTCTGGGAGAATTTTAAATCTTACTAGTTTTATAATTTTTTTCTTTCTTCAAAAATAAAGTGGTGGAGAGATGCCCAAAAAATTTTTTTTAAATGTCGATTATACCGATTAGACTTAAACGGAATTTAACAAACTTGGTCTCGTTACAAAGGGCTTTTCTTAGTCTACCGAGTGCGCTTTACGGTGTTTTTATTTGATTATTATCGTCGCCGCTAGAGGGCGTTATCTAACATATCAACAAATATCGTGCTTTTTTTAAAAAAATTCAAATGGAGTGGTATGTTTATTTTTAGATAGTAAAATAGAGAAATAAATGCTTCAGGTGCCAGTGAAAACAGCAACTCGATAACTTTTTTCTAACAGTAGATATTAGCAAACAAATTTGAAATTATGAATTATTATCAGATCTTGGCGATGAAATTTGCAAAGTAGCTGTTGAAAACAAGTTAGCTGTGAAAATGACACAATGAAGAAACAGCATATGTCAAAAATATTTAGAAGAATATATATTATGTAATATAAAAATTAGTAATTAATAAATTAAATTAATAAAGTAAACGCAAAAAACACATTACAATACTTTAAAAGAATTAGAATATAATTAGTGGTGTCCTAGATGATCAAAATGTCATCCATCATTTTCGATGCAAGAATTCATTTTTTGGCGACTGGATTGAACGGAAGTCTCTACTTCTGCCAACGAAATACTTTGAATGGCATTTCTTATTCTCTCAATCATGTCGTCCCTTGTAGTGGGTCTGGTGGCAAACACGAGATCTTTTATTCTCCCCCACAAATAAAAATCTAGGCAATGCAGGTCTGGGGACCTGCCTGGCCAATGAAATAGACTTCCACGTCCTATCCACCTGTCAGGACATGTCTGGTCTAAAAAATCTCGAACGTTCAGAGAAAAATGCGCCGGGTACCCATCATGTTGGAAAAACATATCACGACGAGTTGCTGGATCTGCGTCTTCTAAAAGAAGCGGCAATTCGTTTCTTAAAAAAATTTAGATGACGTTCTCCATTAGGAGTTTCATTAAAAATAAAAGGCCTAATTATTTGGCCACGTAGAATTCCGCACCACACATTTATAGACCAACGACCCTGAGATTGGACCTCTCGCATCCAACGCGGATTCGTCTCAGACCAATAATGCATATTATGGTGATTTACAGTACCATCACTACTAAATGAGGCCTCATCTGACCACAAAATACGTGAAAATAATCCAGGATCTTCCTCTATCATTTTGCACAGATCCTGTCGTACGTAAACGATGTGCCAGTCGAAAAAAACTCTTTTACCGTGATGACGTCTTTCAGGGTACTTGCAGCAGCAACTCATAGACTCCGGCAGCAACAGTTTCATTTCTCATGCATTCGAAGTAAATCGCTAACATGTCAAATGCTTCTTCATTTCTAAGAATCATTATAATTTTAAGAACTAATTCCAAAACGTAAACAAATTCAATTAGAAAAGTAAATACTACACAAAATAGCAACAATGACAAGTTGAATATTGTTGATATATTATGTTGTTTCTTCATTGTGTCATTTTCACAGCTAACTTGTTTTCAACAGCTACTTTGCAAATTTCATCGCCAAGATCTGATAATTCATAATTTCAACTTTGTTAGTATCTGGTGTTAGAAAAAAGTTATCGAGTTGCGGTTTTCACTGACATCTGATGCGTTTAATTCTCTATTTTACTGCGTAAAAATAAACATACCATTCCATTCAAATTTTTAAGAAAAAGCACGATATTTGTTGACATGTCAGATAACGCCCACTAGCGGCAACGATAATAATCAAATGGAAACACCATAAAGCGCACTCGAGAGATTAAGAAAAGCCCTTTATAACGAGACCAAGTTTGTTAAATTCCGTTAAGTCTAATCGGAGTAATCGACATTTAAAAATTTTTTTTGGCATCTTCCCACCACTTTATTTTTGAAGATAGAAAAAAAATTGTAAAACTAGTAAGATTTGAAATTCTCCCACAATTACGATGCATATATTTTTAATGCCACTTAACTGGGCAAATTACAGAGAAAACCCTAACTTTCTGTATGGTCATGGCTGCTGCGCCCCTAGCGGCCATTTTAGAAACTCGAAAATATTTTCCAGCGATTTTTCAGGGTCGCTTTACTTAAGACAATTTTTTCCCTAAACTTGTGCGATGGTTAGTTTCTGAGATATGGCCGGCATCCATTCTTAGTTGCCCACCCGGTACATGTTTTTGTATTCAGGCAGAGAATATTTTTCTGAATTCAGCAATGCACGGGGCGAAAACTCAGGAGGTGATTCCTCGGACGATTTTAAAGAAAAAATTTGCATACCTGCAGGGCTGGCTTCTCAAAATTAAAAAAAAAAGAACAGCTTTTTTGGCATATTTTATAATAGCATGACTTACATCGCTCATATTTCGTATGTGACCAGTAGCCGCTACAACTATTTAATTTCAACACAAAATCTTTATTCTAAAGGTAGGTTTACAGGGAACACCAAAAAGTTTTTCTAACAGAACTTTTTTCAACATCACTTGGAAAACACCTGTATAACACTATGTACTGATTTTTTTGTCGTACCTTCTTAGGGCATTAAGTCAGTTCCTACAAATTATTCAAAATATTCGCAACAGAATTGTTGAATCCTATTACTATTCCAAATATGCCTGGAATTTTTGAAAGAGTACGACAGTCAGTGGCCAGAAGAATGCAATCGTGTATTGTGGTGCGAGGCAGTCACATCAAACATTTAATTTAGTTATTACTTCAATTAAAAATTACGAAATGTAATCATTTTTTTTTTATTTTTCTTTAACTTTGAAGGACCATAACTTTGCAGCGAGGGGATAACCACTCATGCAATAGTTGGGACAGGGCTGATGTAATACTGTGCATTGCTATGCAGTACCTATGTAATACCATGTAATACCATGTAAATCTTGCAATACTTGTGTAATATCATAGCTATGTAATATCTGGCAATACTTGTGTAATACCATGCAATACCATGTAATACCATGCAATATTTGTGTAATATCATGCAATATCATGTAATATCAAGCAATACTTGTGTAATACCTTGCAATACCATGTAATATTCTTGCAATATTTGTCCAATTTATTATAAAGGGAAATTCATACTACAAACAAATGAAGTCACTTTTTTTTTGATGCGGAGGCGATCTAGATCTAAACTATATTTATAATGAAAAGTGATGAGATATGGTCTTTCGCAACACATTTTGAACATTTTCACCCAAGTTCTTTGCACAATATATTAAATTAAACACCACATGTAATACAACCCCCTGTGTCCCTAAAAGTATCTCAAGGTACCTTGTGCAGGAGCGGGCTACATATTTAGAGACAAAGGACACACACCCAATATTCAAGTATGCTAGGATTAATTCTAGTTTAGAAAAATTCCTGCTCCTCGACCGGGGATCGAACCCGGAACTCCAGGCAGGGTAAGAGGCAAGAGTTCTTACCATTCAACCACGAAGCCACATTTGGTATAACATTTAGATCCACATTAAAGTAAAGAAACTAAACATTTACAGCATCGAGTAGCAGTTACAGCGAATACCGCATATTAGTAGTAATCCAGCATCAGATTTTAAATCAGGAACCGTGCTGTTATTATGTGGCCAGAAGCCGGATTAATGCACTTTTTTGGTACTTTTAATAATTTTCGGAAACGAGCTCCTAGACGTAGAATTCTGGGTAGAATTTCAGAATTTCAAATAAAAAATGTTCTAAATCATTCTAAATCAATTTTACGCACACAGATATCGCAGTGAGTATATGGTGGCGTGTCACGTGACGTATATGCAAGCATGCTTTCATAAACGAAGACTAACGATTGCCCCTGTTTTAATTACGATTTCTGCGAGAATTGCTGTTGTATAGGTTTGGTGTGAATCACAAAAAGGTTTAGTGTGTATATAGATATTTCGGATTTTGTGTCGCGGAGAAGAAAAATTGTCTTATTTTACGTTTTAGAAAATAACTTTAGAGAAAGAAAAAGGTTTGCTTATTAAACAAATAAAACTTACGTAATGAAAAGAGAAATTTAATGTACAGGATGGCCAAAAAATTAAGAAATGTTAAATAGACGTTTGATGGCAAATTATTAAAAAAATTATTAGAGTGAAAATAATTAAGCAAACCAACTCTTATAAGTACAGACCGATAGGTAGTGATAAATAACGTCAATTCCAGGGTTGACGCTAGGTGCTATGTCATCGGTTATTTTGGCGAGTTCGGTAACGTACAAAGTTAGTACAAAGAGGGCTGAAGGTATTGGTGAATGTAATATTAACAAACACGTATTTTTAACTAGTGATCCAAAAGTAAAACTATATTGTGTACAGTTATTTATTTGTGGCATCCTATAATGTTTCTTCTCACCTTCGTTGGGGATTAAGCCACTGTCCTAGAAATTATTTAAAAAAATTTGTTAAATAAACCTCTGCGCCAATAGGATGTCTATGGAAATATATAAACAGAAAACTGTCATGTTTGAAACCCATATTCATAGGAGCCTTTTTATTTAAAGTCGTCCAATCACTTAGGAAACACCCTGTATTAATAATTCGAAAGGAGAAGGTACGCCCATGGAATGGGTGTCATACAATAATTTATTACTCTTTGTCAATAAGAAGCAGACTATACTATTATTTACCTGTTCCTTTTACCTATTTGTAGTAGGTGTTATGATAAAAAATTTCAGGCATATTGCGCTGGAAACAATGAAAAACTAATTAGCGATTATATTTTTGATCTTTTACGTAACCTCAGTTATACAGGGTGGGGCAATAGTGCGTCGGACCTCGATATCTCGAGTTCTACGATAGCTAGAAATTTTTTAAGAAATTGCAAGTAAACTAGATAAAAAAGTCTATAACTGGAAATTATATTCGAACATACAGGGCGAGCCAAGACGGAATTACAGGACCAAGTGCCTTTTTTTTTAAAATGGAATGCTATGTATATCAGTACATTTTTTGAAGCCTCTTTCTAGGCTCTATTCATTCCTATATTATTACTGGCTATCTCCCAACCACTTTGATGTAATGAATTTTTTTGTTGAAATAATGCCATCTGCAGATGGATATTAAAAAAATCACCACAGTCACAATTATGGATTTTCCGAAGCATAATAATGGAAATTGTGCCTATTAACAAATACATTTTTATGAAAAATTGCCTCATCAGTGAATAAAACATTATTGAAGAAGTTGACATCAACTTGCATTTTACCGCTGGACCAACTACAAAATTGTACGCGCTTTCGAAAATCGTCATCAGATAATTCCTGGTGCATTTGAATATGATATGCATGCAAATTATTTGTTTTTAAGATTCGACCCACAGACCGTCTACTTATTCCTACTAATGAGGTCACTTCTCTTTGACTGACATGGGGATTCTCAACCGTTGCCAGCACCACAGAAAACTCATTTTCTTCGTTCACAACACGTTTTATGCTTTCACTTTTTTATATTCGGCATTTCCAGTTTCCAGAAATCTATCGAGAAGGTTTTGGAAGCTGCTAACATCAGTAAGACTTCTTTCAGGATAACGTTGGTGATAAATTCTATTGGCAAGCAAACAATTTCTATCTGTCTCGCCCAAAACAAAGGTCATGTCTACAAGTTCCGCTTTATTAAAATTCATATTGTAAAATTGCAAATATTTTAAATTCAATACAAATTGTAACTAACGACCGATAAGTGTGATAAATGCTCCTTTGTACACGACAATTTATACCAAACTGAGGTTTTATTGCTTGTCGAATAACGAAAACAGCAAAAAAATGTACAAAAAAAACATTAGAGTAAAGGACTGGTTAAATACTATTTACTCATTTCAATGGAAATGGTCCCACTAAATGGCCTCGTTTCAAAATTGTATAAAGACGTGTGTCAATCAAAACGGGCAACACGTCGAACACCTATTATAAATTTTTCTAATGAATTATTTGAGGGAACCTCTTTTTTTAAGTTTATTCTTGAATTTGACATTTATTTATAAAACGAAAATGGTTGCAATTAGCCATAGGGAAGTACTTACTACAAAAAAATGTTCGTTTTTCATTTCTACATCACATCGTCGAAAAATATATAGTGTCTCATTTGAAAAAATTGAGAAAATTCAATTTTAAAAGTTCTTAATTGAATAATAAACACTTATTTATTTATAAAACGAAAATGGTTGCAATTAGCCATAGGGAAGTACTTACAAAAAATGTTCGTTTTTCATTTTTACATCACATCGTTGAAAAATATACAGGGTGTTCCATTTGAAAAAAATTGAGAAAATTCAATTTAAAAAGTTGTTAATTGAATACTAATTTTTGGCCACTTTGTACATTTTTAGGAAATGAAAATGATTCAGAAACATTAATTAGATGTCTCGTAATTGGTATTCACATAAGTTTTTCTTAAAACCCATAATTGTGACTGTGGTGATTTTTTTTAATATCCATCTGCAGATGGCATTATTTCAACAAAAAATTCATTACATCAAAGTGGTTGGGAGATAGCCAATAATAATATAGGAATGAATAGAGCCTAGAAAGAGGCTCAAAAAATGTACTGATATACATAGCATTGCATTTAAAAAAGGCACTTGGTCCTGTAATTTCGTCTTGGCTCGCCCTGTATGTTTAAGGTTCTATCTCAAACGGTTTGGACAGAAGAGGAGCGAGCGTTGAGGTACATAGTTGACAGTTTTGATATGTTTAAGTTATTCAGTTTTTAAATATTTTGAATTTAAGTTAAATATCTGCTATAGACATAGTTACATGAAGAAACAAATATTGAGTGAAAAATCATTTACAAGTTTAGACAAAATTTAAACACGACATTAAAAACTGTACATATAAGTTTAAATGTATAAAATAGTAAAAAAGGATGGAACACAGAAAACATTCCTCCGTTCTAAATATTTATATAGAAAGTAGTTTTTATAAACTTTTAAGAGCTTTCTAGAGAATTAGCATAACACAGGGACACTCTCCAGGGGCTTTTTAGCATATTACATTAGTTACTTAAAATACCGTCGTTTTTCATATGAATTGTAAATACGGTAATCATATAAGCTTACGAGGGCCGTTTTTTTTTGCAACTCGGTCAGTCAGAAAAAGAATTACATAAAAATTAAATTCATATGTTTGTCTCATTTTTTTATACGTATTTGCCGAAACAAATATATTACCAAAAAAAAAATTGCCGAGCTATTGATCGTTTCTAGTAAACATGATAAATTTTACTTAATTTGATAGATATGTAAAATGATCGCTCTGCGGTGTGACGGAGAGCGGCGCGTGAGCGTGCCTTACACCCAGTGGCGGCTGCCCCATAGAGGCTCAGGTGATTGGGCCTCCCAAGTTACTATTAGGAAAATGTAACAGTAATTAAATGCATGATATATTTTTTTCAGTTTTTTTTATATTTAATATCTTCTTTAACATAGTTATTACCCGTTTGCGACGGCTATGTGTACAATATAGTCGCATAATGTACTGACCGTCAACTTATAACTCTAACCAGAGAGTATGTGGGGCTCAGGCTCATCTCATATGAGCCATTCTTTGCATAATGAAATATATGAAGAAACGAACCGAGCGCGGAAATTGCTGATCGCGGAGAACGGATTTTACAACGCGACAGAAGGCTCAAGTTAACAGAGCCGCAGTGCACATTTAATGTTTGTGAAGTGTAGTAGTGCTTATATCGTTTCACCAGTTTCGCTCTCGATATTTATGTGTGGTTTCAGATTTCACTATTAGAAATTCAACTGATGAGATAGAAAAAGAAATTACTATTATTGAGAATGAGAATAAACGGAGAAAAATTGATCCTGAAAATAGAAATTCCGTAATTGCGAAGGAAGTGTGTGATACAATAATTTTTCAGATGAAAGATTGTCATACAGAGGTCATTTAGAAGCGAATCTTTAATGAATGTAGATAATTTTCTTAATTATTCAAAGAAACGTCGACTTTCCAATCAGTTGTTGAATCTTATCCAGTGTTACAAGACAAATTAAGGACTGAATTGAAAGTCATTTATTCAAGAACAGATTTTAAAAATATTGTAGGTGGCCTAAACATGCTTTCTTGGCTGTCGAAAATGGTTTAAATGAAACAATCAGCGAAACAGCCAAGTTAATAAAAATTATTGTGACAACCCCGATGTCTACAGCTGATTCAGAAAGATGTTTTTCAACTCATAAAAGAATAAAGATATTTTTAAGTAACACTATGAATGAAGAACGCCTTAATGCCCTAGCAATGATGTCAGTGAATAAGAACTTTATCCATAACATAAACAATTTTAACGAAAAAATTCATAGAACATTTTATTTCCCTGAAAGACAGAAGACTTGATTTTGTATATAAGCAATAACATTTTTACTCGCACTTTTAAGTAATTATTATATTGTGAACTTTTTTGTACATATGTACAAAAAATTTTTCCTTTTCTCAAAAATCGTAG